AAATCCAGTATTTTGGCTACAAAATAAGAGTGTTTTTTTGTATAAGAACCTATTGTTCTTTGCCAGCCAAAATAGGTTCTTATATATTTGGGTATTAAAATGCCCAATTTCAGCCTGTAGGTTCTTAAATCACTAGGTTCTTATATGCGGGTGTTTACTGTAATATGATACCTTCCCCTGATTTTTTTGATATTAAATTTACTTTGTACTTACAGGTTTCTCTCTTGGTATAACTGTATGAGGCTCAGGTAACTGTCAAAGAATTTGAAATTAATGGGATTAATGGGATAATCAGTAATCACATGTAATATATCCAACAAAGACGTGTTAAATGAAAGATAACAATATACATGTCACACCAAAAAAAAACAAAACAAAAAAAAAAACAGAACAAGAACATTAACTACGTAATTGAATGACTAATTAATGATTTGATTATGAAATCGAGATTTCTATGGGGTGATAGCTGAATCAACTATCACCTCATAGAAATTGAGAGCAAATAATCTAATTGTTTTACTGAAATTAATGCAAATAATGGTTTCCAGCTATTTCTCCACCTATTATTAAACTTTACGCTTTAGCAAAATTGCAGGGACTGAATTTTCATTGGAAATACATGTACAATGTATGCTGTTGTCTACACTTCCACCCATTTTTTCAGTATTTTTGAGTTTTTAAAGTCAAGAAACTGTAAATGTCCTTTGTTTAGTCTTCTTAGGAATTTAATTATCCATTTGCATCTAAACATTCCTCGAAAATGCCAGGAAAACAGAAAAACCTTGCCATTTCGTAGATGACCGACAGCCACTGCACTCTACTGGCTGATAGTATACGAGTAGCTCAGCCAATCAGATTGTAGCATTTGCACGATTGTGCTGTATGTTACAGAAAGACTATTAATAACAAAAGGTCATGATTGTTAGGGCGTATATACAGTGAAACGCCACCTTATGGACACCCTGTTAATATAGCCACCTCGTTATTATTGCCAGAATAAACTCAGTCAGTCATTTAACGAGCCCCTTTAATGTAGTCACCCCGTTAATAAGGTCAGATTTTTGTGGCCTGTTGGCAACCAGATTAACAGGGTTCCACTGTACATGTATTTACATTCTTCGGTATTCTCTAAAATAAGAAATGCAATGCAATATTGTTTACAAAGGTTATACTCAGGTTAACAAGAATCATTCAAGTTACCTTTGCAAGAACCAGACCTTCAGATCTCTCATTCGGAAGCTAAAAATCAAAATAATAACACTGTTAAACAACAAATTTTACACTGTCAATGACTAATGCAGCAAGAGCAATTAACAGAAACATGGCTTTATAAGTTTGATGCAACAGACACTGTAGAGTAAATCAAACCCAATTGAACTGAATTTCGATCAAATTCAATCGAACTCAATCCATGGATTGAGCTCGATTGAGTTCAGCAATCAAATGAAATTAAACTCGCACAAAAATAATTAGACAAACAACCTCAATCGCATGTTTGATTTCCTAACTCTCGATTTTTGTAAAACTGGTGTTGAAAATCAGCGACAAGTTTTTCAAGGCTCGACTTACTTCAGTATAAAATACGCTTTCCATGTTTTTGAGACTAGCATTGATTTTGTTTGGGTTTGATTTCTTTGATTGAGTTTGACTGGTTTGGAAATCAAACTCACACAAAGTTTGGTGTTTGATTCGGTTGGATTATCAAACTCAATTGAATTCGATTTCCCAATGTCTGATTGACTATGCTGGGAATAGACTGTACCTTCCAAATGGCATTAAATAGCAACTGGGTGTTGTCTCTGGCAAGATTCCTGAGGAAATCCTCTTTGTTCTTCCTGCAAAAAAGATGCTTCCACGCTTTCATACCCTGGCCAAAACACCACAGTGCATTTAGAAAATTATACGAGATAAATATTAAATCAATTGAAAACAAACTGAGAGGAATCAAATAGCATTGTAGCCCATAACATCCATTGTTTCAAGAAAAAATCTCGTTGTGACTGATCAGTGAGTAACAGAGATAAGCTTAACTTACTCCACGCTATGGACTACCCAGGCTATTCGCACGAGAAACTCTTTCTTAATATTTGATGTCTAACTAGTGGAGTGCCGCTAGAACGAATGAACGCTTCCAACAAGCCTTGTACAAAGAATGGACACTATCTCTTTAATTAGATCTTGATAGAGATAAATATATCAAGTCTTTCACTGAATTTTCTTCCTACATGTATGTTGATTTTGCACGTGTAGTAACGCTTGCTGCCTAGTATTAACTTACCTAAATTCTCGTATATCAATCGGCTGAAGATCTGTAGCTAATAAATTTCCAATGTCTAGATCCGGATCTATATCTTTTATGACTTCTGTCGATTTAAACTTCTCTCTAGTATTCTTTTCCGCTGCAGATAACACTGATGCCACATCAATCTTCATGCTGTCCGCCATGTTGAAATACACACGCACTCGTCGCATGACGGGAGAAGTCTCCCATAGCGAGGTTACAAAGCCCTAGAAACCCCGAAGGAGTGGGGAAATCAGACAGTTTTAGTCTAGAGCAGGGTTTAACTTAGCGTGGGAGAGGACAGGGTATAAATAATTTAGCCTGGAACAGGGTTCTTTACCTGGGGTTATATACAGTAGAAATTGAAACTTGGAAGTGATAATGACTTTCTCAGATATTGTTTTATTCGAGTGAGCGGTAGAAATTGAGCCTTGTTAAAGTGAAGCATGAACAAGTGATTGCAGTTCCTTATCATGAAAGAAAATTGTTGAATAAATTTCCATCTCCACAAGACGACCTCAAACCCATGTGCCACTACTAGTCGTTCTCGTGCTCAGTGCTAATCGTTTTAAAATGTCGTTATCACCACGTGACCAAAAGAAACGAAGAACAACAAGCTCCGGTCGTCCATTTCCACGGCGCCCTCGTGTACGTGAGTTGCCTTAACTATCAAATTGACATCAGTTCTTTTATGCGTCTGTCCTCTTATTGATGATAAATTGCGTCATAACATTGTCAAACTGGCTGTGGAATGAGGAGTAAAGACGCCGTAAACTTGACGTAAACAATAGGGTGGCAGAGGTGGGGTACCAATCACGCATCACGCTGAATTTTCTATTAAATCACGCATCACGGAGAACGCGCCACGTAAAAAGAAATAAGTACATCGCCAATTTTACTTTCTCGACCCTAAAAGTGTCGTTAAAAGAAGAACTCTGCTGATTCGACCACAAAAATGCATCGGAAAATATGTGACCTCTCAGGCGAAAACGTTCCTTACGGTATCCGTTCGAACGGCTGAACGCAAGGCAAGTGAACGGATAATTTGAATAACGATAGTCAATTTACTTGTTCCAAGATATCTCAAGACTACTTGGTTCTACATGAGTTGATAAGCACTGAGTATAATGAGTAATGACGCTAGAAACGATTTAATGAAATGCAAACTGTGAAGGTAAATGTGATGGATTCATGAGATGTGGGCTGTGTAGGTATTTGTTGGTAATTAATACGATAAATGCTCTGTAGGTATAGTGGGGGATAAATGAGATGTAGGCTGTGAAGGTGAATGTGAGGGATTCATGAGATGTGGGGTGTGTAGGTATATTTTGGGAATTAATACGATGAAAGTTGTGTAGGTACATGTTGGGGATAAATGAGATGTAGGCTGTGTTGGTATATGTGGGGGATTAATGAGATGTATGGTGTGTAGGTACATGTGGCGAATTAATGAGATATATGGTGTGTAGGTATATGTAGGGGATTAATGAGATGTAGCCTGGGTAGGTATATGTGGGGGATAAATGAGATGCATGGTGTGTAGGTATATGTAGGGGATTAATGAGATGTATGGTGTGTAGGTATATGTGGGGGATTAATGAGATGCATGGTGTGTAGGTATATGTGGGGAATTAATGAGATATATGGTGTGTAGGTATATGTAGGGGATTAATAAGATGTAGCCTGGGTAGGTATATGTGGTGGATTAATGAGATGTATGGTGTGTAGATATATGTGGGGAATTAATGAGATATATGGTCTGCAGGTATATGTAGGGGATTAATGAGATGTAGGTATATGTAGGAGATTAATGAGATGTAGACTGTGTAGGTATATGTGGGGGATTAATGAGATGGAGGCTGGGTAGGTATATGTAGGGGATTAATGAGATGTATGGTGCGTAGGTATATGTGGGGAATTAATGAGATATATGGTGTGTAGGTATATGCAGGGGATTAATGAGATGTAGGCTGTGTAGGTATATGTGGGGGATTAATGAGATGTATGGTGTGTAGGTATATGTGGGGAATCAATGAGATATATGGTTTGTAGGTATATGCAGGGGATTAATTAGATGTAGGCTCTGTAGGTATATGTGGAGGATTAATGAGATGTAGGTATATGTGGGTATATATATGGTTTGTAGGTATATGCAGGGGATTAATGAGATGTAGGCTCTGTAGGTATATGTGGAGGATTAATGAGATGTAGGTATATGTGGGATTGGATTTACTCTATGAGGGATATGGGCTGTGTAGGTATATGTGGGGGATTAATGAGATATAGGTATATGTACAGAATTAATGAGATGTAGGACGTGTAGGTATATGTAGGGGAATAATGAAATGCAGGTTGGGAGGGGATATTGGGGGATATTTAGGGGGGTGGTTGAGGAAGAATACTTAATTATATATCGAGGTATTGTTTTAAGAGAGATTAAGAGAGGTGTGTATATTGCGGTGGAGTTAACTAGCCGCCCAACCATCCGGGTGGTGTCGCACTTATAAAGCGTAAAAACAAAAGGCTTGGTTGTGAGCCAATGAGAAAGTACTGACGTCATAGCCAAACCGGACAAACGAGTTTCTGACACCGGCCGGATTTGATTATTCAAAAT